CCCGTATAATGACCCTTAACCATAAATACCCAAGTCTTCTTTATCATAAAGACATTAGAAGTCAATTCAACGTTTAAGCGATTTACAAAATAATCCTTGGAATCGGTTTGTTTTTCATGTCTTCTGTGTTTGTAATGGTTGTTTTTGCGTTTTGTCTTTTTGGGAATAAAGCTTTCTAAATACATGCAGGATTTCTGTGATTGTTTTTATTTGTATCAAATTATTGAGGTAAAATTCTTAATCTGTTATCATGCGTGGCCAACCAATTGTGATAATTACAGAAAAATGTTCTCAGTGCTCTGTTGTATTTACTGTATTGTAGTCAAAACATTCCGATTGGATTGAACTTTTCAAAATCGCTTACCAATAGGTGCTTTTATTTTGTCGCCCGCATGGCGTAGTGGTTAGAGCGTTTGCTCTAAAGAAGAGAAGTAAGGATTCGATCCCTATCTCGCGGGTTCGAATCCCACTGTGGGACATGGAGACAGGTCTTTTGGATGAGACTGTATAAACCGAGGTCTGTGTCGCAGTAGGTGCTGGCACAGAAAAAAAACAGCCCAGAGTGCCGAGTATAGGTCTCCACCGGCAAGTGGTGGCGTCTCCATGTGAGTGAAAAAGGGTACGTTAAACAACATACAATCAATAAATCATTTTTTAAACTTTAAATTCAATCACCATAATCATTTGTAAGTTATGACGATGAGATGGTCCATTTTGAATTATAAAATCTGAATAAAGCTTCAAAAATATTACTTTTATGTTTTGTTACATGTATTTATAACTCTGGAAATCAGTAATGATGTTTGGAAATTGTTCATTAAGAGTACAAGAAGTCTGATTTTTTTTTTTTGCCTTCAAATAAATTGTTTGAAGACTTTAGCTTCTCATCGCTTATTTTCCTGATTTACATATATGTATTTCCAATTAGACTTAAAAAAAAACATTTTTTATGTATTTCATACTTATAATTCATCATCTGAGATATACGAGATAAACAGTTTCTGATAAGTGGCACATTTTTTAAAGCAAGCTTTAAATTCAATCACCATTTATCATTTGTAAGTTATGACGATGAGATGGTCCATATTTGAATTATAAAATCTGAATAAAGCTTCAAAAATATTACTTTTATGTTTTGTTACATGTATTTATAACTCTGGAAATCATTTACATGTTTTATGCATGAATTGGAAATTGTTCATTAAGAGTACAAGAAGTCTGATTTTTTTTTTTTTGCCTTCAAATAAATTGTTTGAAGACTTTAGCTTCTCCAGCTTATTTTCCTGATTTACATTTCATTGAGCATTTCCTTTACAGTTTTCATATTTCCAATTAGACTTAAAAAAAAGTTTGTGTATATTTACATTTTACAACTTATGTATTTTACTTATAATTCATCATCTGAGATATACGAGATAAACAAACCAATTTACCTTTTCTGTCTGTTTCTGATACAGTTAAAAAAAAAAAAAAGAAGGCATGGAATAACAATCTAAGTTTAAAGCAAGCATTTTGTGAATTCTGTGATGTTTTATTTTTTACCTTTTATTGCATGGAATATATCATGTATATATAAAGAACAGTTTTCAAACTCAAAAGTCTATTTTATAAGAGCAGAGCAAACACAAACCTCCAAAACATCAGATATGAGATCAGGTGCCATGAAGGATTGAGCATTTCCTGCCGATCAGTCATAAAATTTACCTTTTATAGTCTGTATAACACCAATATATTGATGTGCATATTCTTTATTATAATCAAAAAATAATCTCCCCCTCAAAAAAAAAAAAAAAAAAAAAAAAAAAAGAAGATTTTGCCCTTTAAATGAACGACCTTTTAAATAAACTTTGTCTCAATATTATTTTGATGAAAATTTTATTACTGGATAAGAATGATACAAAATGTAGTTAAAAAAATCGGTTGAGTTAAAGGTGAAGATAACTTAAAACGATCCTTTAGAAAACTTAAGCTCAATACACACATATTTGATCTGTACATGATTTTTGAATTGAAGTTTTTGTTTTAACATAGCAACTTCCATTGACCTGTGTTCGATACTTCCAATATTATTAAGTAGTTAATTCTCGCCTTGCTTGAAAAAGATTTACGTTTAAAAATCAATATTCACCTTATATATCGAGTGCTAGTCTTTAAGATATAATAGCTGGTGAGAAGTATCACAGTTATCGAGGATTGATCTTCGAACACGTTATTCTACTCACACCTCTGTCAAGCCATGCGGTGGTTTGATACGGAGCACAAAATGCACATACTGCAGATAATCCTGATGACAGAGATTTTGATGATGCATTACTCAGCATTAACACCCGTTGTGTGTCCGAAGGAATGCTCATGTGGAAGTATTTTTGGATTGAAACCTTACGTCAAATGTGATCATGTTCAGGCAGAATATGTTTACAAGGTTATAGCAGAAATACCACAGAATACTGAGGAAATGCAAGTATAAATATCATATTAAGTATCAAATCCTAATTGTGTTATTTATAATTAAATGATCATTTGAATTAAAATAGAAATAGATCTAAGTTTATAGTCGTGTATCATTATGTCTGTACAACATAAAGTACGTAATTGAAAAACAAAAAGACAGAAAGTCAAAATCATTTGAAGGGATTTTTTTTATTGTGGAAAGATTAAATTAATCAAGAAATAAATATAGAAATTGACTTGAATTTAAGATACCACCTTTAAAACATCCTATTCGTTCATACTTTATAAGAACAACTATGTATTTGGAAATCAAACAAAGAGGCTAAAGTTTTATCTAATATTGAAATGAAATGAAACCATTTTTGGTGTATTATTTCAAAACACAAGGTTTACTTTTGCAAAAATGTTTTGAATAAATTCAAACCATGAAAATTTTTCTTTATAACCTTTTCAATTCTCTGGGAAAAAATTAAAGTGATCACATGTTTAATTCTATATATACTTATAAGAAAATAAAGCAATTATATATGTGAAAAAAATAGAATGGAATTGCTCCTTCGTGTAACATTAATCTAAACAGCTAAGATTGCGTAATCGAAAGACAACGAGTCAGAATCATTTAATGAAATTTTCTACCAATATTTTTTGCGGAAAGATTAAATCAAGAAATCTTTCTTTTTCAACATACTTTATTTTGTTTTTATTTAGTTTTATTATCTTTAAGTGTTCATTGTCATGATTCATTATATCTATTTACGATTGAACTATTATTGTTTCTAAATAAAGGATCTGGAGATAACGAACAGTATTCAATATCAAAGTCCATAAAACAATACAGAATAGAAGCAGAGCAAACACGTACCTCCAAAACATCAGAGGTGGGATCAGGTGCCATGTAGGAGCAGACAAATTCTAAAACACTTTCACTGAGACTTTATATATGTAAAATGTATCATCATTTTCATTATATCATTTCTAAAGCAGTAGCTTAATATCAGTATTTCAAACTTTAATAAATTGTTTTTCTTAGAAAGAGGACATGTTTCGCCCCTGTTTCTCTGTACTATACTTTTTTTTCATTATGATAATTTAGAGTTTCACGAAAAAAAAAATGATTCATTGAATACTTTTTAAATCCTGTATACAGGGTTATTTTCGTCCCGTATTTCACACTTGGAAACAATTTTGCTCCTTTTAAAATTCGCCCAGTCCTAGTTTTGGTTAAGAAATGTTACTTCATTCTTTCAAATCGCGCTGTTTTAAATTCGCTGAAATGAGGTTAGGTCAAAAGAGGCGAAATAAAATGGGGGCGAAAATTTGACTGTAGACAGTACGTGTATGTCTAAAGCTGTGAATCATCCATTAATTTTTTTTTTCTGTCTTATTTTGTTTTCTATTCTTTTATCCATTACTTTTATGTACCGGGTATGTATATTTATTTGTGTGTGTGTGTGTGTGTGTGTTTTGTTTTTTTTTGTTTTTTTGCTGTATATTGTTATCTCCCGAATAGAATAAGGTGTCAAAAGGTAGTCTATTAAGGATCAGGAGGACTCGTCAAATGATCTCAAAATCCATCATTACAACTAATATTGAAGTACTATAGAAAAAAAGAAGAAGAATTTTTCTTATCTTTATTCTTATTTGTCAAACAAGTTCAAAAGCAGATTCTCGATATTTTATGTACCTGATGTTTCACATCATAAAAATTGCCAAAAAAGTCATGTTTTAACTACTATCTCCCGGTGATGTGCATAGTCCTGTACATTGTGTCAACCATTCATATTTATATCAACTATATATCATATATAGAGGATCCTGAAGCATAAATAACTATATTGTAACAGCAGGCAAATATACATGTATGATTTGTATACTAGTGTGTTTATATTAAGGATTTCAATTCGTGACCAAGTAACCGATTACTCGGTCGGAACAGAAACATATAATAGATATGTCTTTGGTAGGAACGACTGAGTAATCGGTTACATGGTAATCGGTATCAATCGGTTAGAAAATCGGTAGTCAGTCAGTCGGGAAAAATATATGTTTAATTAAACACCATTTTCTAAAAATCCTTTTCTAAGAAAGAAAATTTTTTTACTGTAATTTGTATTTTAGCGTTTACCAAATCTAACTAACTGAATTGTAGTAATTGTGACTCCCCGGGGTAACTGGTCAGTTCGTCTAGCGATACTTATTGTGAGAAAAGAAGATGTTTCTGTGAAACACTTGTAGGGAAAATTAAAGTTTCTTATTTGCAAATCAAACTCCAAGGTCGATCAATGAAAAACTGTGTAAACCAAAAAACAAGGAGCACTTTCACAAGAAATATTGCTGTGAAATATTACAGCTTATTGACAAGCACTAACAGAAACTAACCATTCAAAGGTTTTGACCAAGGTCAAGAAATTATTTTTTTTAAATGGTTAAAACGTCAGGGTCAATTTAAAGGTACCCAGTAGAAGGTCTTGTCAAAAGACATTAAAACCATAATACCGACTGTTTAAAGGATAGGTCAATGTTTAAGTTTTTCAAACGCAAATTCTAACATGAAGGCCCCAATCAAAAATGTTGAAATCCAAAGAAAGACTCTGTTGTAAGTAATGTAACCGTGGAAGATGAAGATTCTTGCACTGAGTGTTTAAAATTTATGTCCAAGGTAAAAGTTTTTTAATGGGTCAAACTATAAGGTAAATTAAAACTCAAAAGGCTACTGTAAAGTCACATATATTTGGAGGATTAAATTTTTGTTGTATGAGAAAAAACTTTTGGTTTGTGAGGATTTGATTCTTGGATGAATAAGTGTTGTAAAACATTTTACAAATATTGGTGCATGAATTCTTGAGGCTTTTCACACCTCGAAACGACGAAAATTAACCTTCCAAGAAAATTTGTGATTTCACAGTAAAAATATTATTTGTAAAACAGAAATTTCTCATCTCAATGTATACTCATGTGTAGTAGGATGGTGCTATCACTAACTTCTTTAAAATACGAATCAAATGAAACTTTTGTAAATTCTTGCAAACGTATGTAAAACTCCAGGGTAAATTGTTTTGGCATCCAGTGAAAAACTTTTTCATAAGAAATTTACTTGTGAAATATGAAAGTCATGTTTAATTGACTACAAACTTATCCTTTTATTCTTTTACCATATTAATTGTACTTCTGCAGTTTTGCACTGAATATCTATTTTGAAATGTGGATTTCGGATCAAATTACTATCAATCACTTGACAGAATTCACCTTTATCAAATAGTACCATCTTGTCTATTCTCAGATGAAGGGATTAAGATGTTGTTATATTAATGTTAATATTCGATATTTTCAGAAGAATGACAAATACATCTCTGACACGTATGTACCAATTACATGGAAATTTTCCACGACTTCTCGATCTGTAAGTCTTTTTGTGACATTAAGTTGTTTTACCTGGTCTGTGTTATTTAGAATCTTTCATCATTTGATTAATGCTAATCTGCTTTGATGATTGCTTTGTCGTATTTCAATAGATTTTATTTTAAACGATTATCTCACTGTTCTTTTTTGACAATAAAAAAATATCTTTTCATCTAATCTATGTATTTGCATCTAGGTTATATATTCCATAAAAATAAGCATGGGTGTACTGATTCGCGTTTTATCAGTGCAAAAAGAGAGATTTATTAATTTATTTTCCTTTGAGTAAACCTGGTTACAAAGTCACGACAAAGTACATGATATACTTTAGGCTCATCTATTTTGTTTATTGTCTAAATTGCGGAACTTATTTGGTAAACACATATATCTTGTATCATTTCTGATAAAATTTTTATAAAAATAGATATTGTTCTTGATATTATTTATAATTATTTTAATTTATCATCTTGGTGTCTTATTTTGTGTATTTGCTTGAGCTATTACCACATAAAGATAAACTTAATGATGACTTCAACTATCGCCGTACTAAACTTCCATTATTTACGATATTTCAAACTATTCATTTTTTCTCTGCATATGAAAATTTAAAGGCCCCAGTTAAAGGTGCTTGGACACAAATTTAAAGTTAATATTTTATCAAAGTTTCTGTATAATTTCATGACATATATGTTGTTATAGCATTTTGTAGTTAAATATTATAAAAGTCTTATTTCGGTTTTTTAACGTGTCCGATTAACACATCCTTGCACTTTCACAAATTTTAATTTTATTTTAAATACTTAGGAAAATTAGCATTTTTGTTGTGTATTTATAAAAAAAAATATTTAAACTATTATTCAGAAAATTCCGAGTTGAAATGTGACAAAGCAAAATTTTATCACAATACTGAGTATTGTCAGTCCGTGCCCAGTGATGTGCGAGGAGTTCAACAATTGAACACGCCCGGTTAATCGTAATATTTAAAAGTAAAAGAGCTCGTGCCCTGTTTACAAAAACAGTAAACGTTCTCATCGGTGTATTCAGATTGTTAAACTCTGTACATGACATCGAGCATGGGTTGACAATATTAGTGAGTGGGTTTGCTTTCGAACATTTTTACTCGGAATTTTCTCGATTAAAGATGTAATACTTTTCATTTATAAACAACAATATTGCTTCTTTTCTTGAATATTGAAGATAAAGTTAGAATTTTTTAAAGTACCAGGGTATGTTGATCAAACGCGTCCAGAAATTCGTAGTTCCAATAATTTCCAGATAAAGTATTTTTTGATTAGATTTTCGCGTGAAATGCTATTGCAATATATAAGTCGTGATATAATACAGAAAATGAGAAAATGTTAAGTTTAAACCTGTGAAGAAGCACCTTTAATCAAAAAGCAAAATCGTCTGTGTTTGATCTTTAAGTCGAAGCAGAATGCAGGAAAATCCACCTTAGTTACAGAATGAGGTTTTTCATGGTTAATCTCAACTATTTGTCGTACAGAAACCAGCTTGTAACATAGTCAAATGTCACTAATATTTTTCTAATAGAAATGATATACTGTCATTTCATACCATTTGTTTTTCGTGTACTCCGTGTACGTCATCAAAACTTTTGACTCAAGAACGGTGAGTCAATTTTACAAGAGGTACTCTTTCGTTAATGGCACCTGATCTTAACTCTGGTGTTTCCAGAGGACATTTTTGCTTTCATCTCCATTTTCATTATATAATTACAATTTTTTACTTGATTACCGCTTGTAATCTTTAAATATCTTTTTGGCTATGTTCATTACACAAAGTGATAGCCAGAAATCCCCTTCCTCTAATTGAAGTCTTGTTTCTTAACCAGGTCGTCGATATTTAGGAAGTCTTTTATCGATTCTTTTTTTTTTGCATTCTTTACTTCCACTTATTTTCTTTTTCCAGAGATGTTAATTTATGACTTTATATCATTTTTGTAACTTTATATCACTTAAAAAAAAATCTATACAGAATTTTGAGTAAACGTTTAACATTTTGAAAAACTCTGAAAACGAGCTACAAATTGAGCTACAAATGTTTACTTTAAACGGAAGTTTTCGTAGAATTGAAAGGTCTTGGCGAATTTTTTTTTCAGATTTTAAAGTAAACGATAAGGATCTGCCAATTTTCTATGAAAAATGTTTTATTATAATTTTTATAACAATACTTTTTCGAGGGGAAAGAAATGTTAGGTTTTACATTAATCTATTTTTCATCCAGTGGTATATTTTTGCAAAATTATTTTTAACATTTATTTACGTATTTATTGTCTGATTTTAATGGCATCTTGCGTATTCTCCTATCTAAGTTTAAGGCTATAAGACCCGTAGATGGATAGGAAAGCTCTTTTTTTTTTAACTCTAATTAAACAGTAAGACCTTTGAAGAGAAGTTTTAATGATCATTATTTATTTTTGTTATTCAGCTTAGTATTAAACATGCTATTGTTTAAACAGATCATTGAAGAACTGCTCCATTCTGAATCTCAGGGAAGCTTTACAGCCGTTTTTATTTGCCAGCAAAAAGAAGATATACTCAATGTAAGCGTATAATTTTACCCAGGCTCTCTTTGTTTGATCCTTTTTTATTATAGATGTTATATTAAAGTGTCTCCGCTTTCAAGTCTTTAATGTTTCAAATAGAAAAGTTTTTAAGCCTAAAATCAATAAGAATTAAGGATTATCACATCATAAAAATAGAAAGAAAATTGCGTTGAGGTCTGTAAAATGGCAATTTTTATGGCTTAAAATAAAATTGCATAAAATTGTCAAATATTGCATGTCTTCTGCATTCTATTCAAATTAAAAAAATATTACACCGAGAACTGGAAAGGTTTTAGATTATTTTTATCAGCTTAATATTTTGAGGTAAAGATTATGATGTAAAGGAAAAAAATACTTTTAAAATTATGGACTATTTGATACCGTAATAATATAAGTGAGATATGTTGAACCTTTACTTATCACATAAAAAACCTGCTGTCTCACTAGTTACAAATTAAAGTCTGACTTTAGAGGTGCGACAAATTTACACTTTATCGACCCGACCTAGACGTTAAAAACAAAAAAAAGCTAAAAAAGTATCAAAGTAAAATGTACAAGTCTTGGTATAAGAAAATTCTTTGACAAAATTAACACTAATGCTTAATCAATACAGACTGTAAGTCCTACACATACAATGTATTCATTTTAAGGGAGTGAAGCACGTGATGGATAGCACATTAATTAGAGAATGTTTTAACTAGAAAAAGTTACCGGATGAGGAAATTGCTATTGTTAATGTTGTAATTATAAATCTGTTACACAAAATTGTAGTTCCGTTACTTTCAACGATATCACGATTGTCCAGGAAGACACATTTCAGAGTCTGGTGATGCTACAGCAGCTGTAAGTAGAGTCTTGTACAGTAAGCCAGATTTTGTAGAGTTGTGAAATAAATTAGTCGATTTGATGACATCTTTTGAAATTCGTACTTTTAAGTTGTCTGTGAGGCGTCATAAATGTTTCAGTGTCTGGGTTAGATTCCTGAAGTTTTTATTTTAGAGAAAAAGAACATCAATACGCGGATAAAGGGATTATGAATATTACATATATATATATTTGTTCAGGATAATAAAGAATAGTGGCTTTATTTACCTCTCCATCCTTTAAGCATAATGTGTCATCAAATTCAACTATTCATTATTTATTAAACTATTATATATTGATCTTCTCATGGTAGCCAGTTTGATAGAGCTCTCACTCTGTGATCGGAAGAGTTGTAGATTAAAAAACCGCCGTGACTGACCAAAGTCAATAAACATAGGTAGCAACTATTCTTTCGCTGCGTGATCGGGACATTGGAGTGAAAAATGCAGGTCATTCAACATGGAATATTAATACCAAGGTCCAATGTCACGTCAAGCGTTGCCGCGATAAAGATTCCTCACTGCTCAATGGTCATGAAAGCCGAGCATAGATCCATTTTTTTTTAACCCATCATCGGTTTATGGTGACGATTTATATGAGTTAACAATTCTCGAATAGGGCGTAAAACAATAATTAATCAAAGAATCATGTTACTAATCATAACATTTTTGAATTATGCACAACATGCAATGCATAAGGGGAAAAAAAATTAAAAATGATTTCTTCGTCTGCGTCAAAAAGTCAGAGTTGGCTAAATCATTTTGAAAAGCCAATACAGAGGGTAAGGGAATAAGATAACAAAAAAGAAAGAAAACTATTTTTCTTTGAAAAGTGAATAGATATTTAAGAATAGGCCCAATCTCTTCAATAATAATTTGCAGTTGATGGCTATATTCAAGTTAACCCTTTATTGCCAGAGGATTTGTAAAAAAAAAATTGTCATGCCTTTTTCAAAGCATGTTGTATGAAAGTGGGCCTTGAAACATCAATATTTTATTTCCTTTGCAGAGACCTTTGTCATAATAAAATTCAAAATATTGATGAGAGAGCGTTCACCGACGCTTGGAAACTTCGGATTTTGTATGTACATATTTATCCTTTATTATTTTTTTCATACAGATATAAAAAGATTAAATCTTTAGGAAAAAATCTAATAAAGCTTAATTAAGTCAAGTTCTTGCAATTTGTAAAAGGATTTTATTTCTTGATTTTTAAAGGAAACATGGTTGATGTTTAATTTCTAAATTTAATTTTAATAACTTTTAAATGTTAATATCAGAGAAATAATAACGAAGAATATCAGTAGAAAATACAAAAATGGGTATTATTTTTTAAGGTTTTATTTTTTGCAGAAAACTGTGTCACAACAAACTAAAACAGCTAAAGAAGAACTTATTTTTGTCAAACGTTGAACTAGTTTCCTTGTAAGTTACTCGTAGCTCTTCTAGTACTTTAGATTTTGACTAAGAGAAAGTTAACTTTGCTCTGACCCTTTTCTCTAGTTCATATATTTACATTACACATGTTTTTGCATATAAAGTGTATGGAAATCTATGGCATTCTAAACGTCATAACACAGAAAGGGGTTCAAAAGGTTAAAACATGCTTTTTATAGAGACATAACAATTGTTGGACACCAAGGAGGTGAAACGTCATAAGCGAAAATCAAACATTATGCTCACATTGACCAGTAGCTGTTACGTTGGCTCCTTTATTAACTGTAGCTTATTCGAGGGGTGAAACGTGTGTTTTAAAATATAAATCACATTTGAAGTCAATGCAAAGAGTTAAAAGAATTGGGTTTCAGCAGTGAATCATTGTTTTTTTAAAAGATATACTGTAATCACTAATTTTCGTGGGGATTTAAATTTCATGGTTTTCAAGGAATGAAGAGAACCACGAATTTATCTTCACCACCAAATGCAAATTTTCACATATATTAATTACTACTGAAAAATTCTTCAACCACAAAATCAAATTCCCATGAACCAATATATTTTCTTCAAACCACGAAAATTTGATCTCTTGAAAATATGTGATTTTACAGTAGTCTTATAACTGCAACGGTGTGCGCAAACAAATTTTCATTTCGTGCTATTTGTTTGCACACACCGTTGCAGTTATGAGACTAAATCTTAAAAAAAAAAGGATTCATTGCTGAAATATATAAAAAAGAATGTAGTTACTAATAAACGTTAATGATTCTGCAATCATTTTGAATCAGTAATAACCATGATAAATGTAAAGTTACCAAAACAATTTTCACTTTTTTTTCAATTTAATATTCATGTTCTTCGGAATTTTACATGAAATAATTGCCTTCATATTCAAGATTTTTACTTAACAGGTACCTAGAAAATAATTTTTTCGAGAATATTCCGATCGTCTCCTTAAAAGTTCTAAAGAATTTAAAACTCTTGTAAGTATAATGTCACTTGAAAATTAATTTTTTTTAAATTAAATCTAATATTTTATCCAATTCCAATCTCTCTCTCTCTCTCTCTCTCTCTCTCTCTCTCTCTCTCTCTCTCTCTCTTTATGTTTTTTGATTATGTGTACAAAATTATTTATCAGATTCATTAATATCTTTCATTTTCTTTTCCAGAGATCTAAGTGCTAACAATATTCAATTTATTCCTTCTCTCAGTGCCTTATCCTCAATAAAATTCTTGTAAGTACACATTCATCGATATCTATAAAAGACAAATAAATAAATAAATAATAAATATTAAGTTCATAAAAAACTGCTTGTAAAAATTAATTACATATTATTTAAATAGTAAACATTGGAATCGGTTAAGAAAATTCCGAAAAAGGTCTCTAGGAATCTTTTTAAACATTCATGAATAAGGTAGGATTCAAAGAATTATGAAAATATAGAGATCATCTTCAGGTTCTAAATCATCGGATTTTGATAACTTGAATGTACTGTAGATTTATCAAATATTATTATTTCCTTCAACAGAGCTCTTTTTTTCAGATACCTGTCCAATAATAAAATCCGAACAATTGCGAGCAATGCCTTTGATGGTCTGCAGCATCTTTCAATGTTGTAGGTAATTCTTATACACCCCTTCACAGGTTGTAATATAAGAAATCTTTCTTTTTTTTTTTTTTTTTTTTTTTTTTGGTTATGATAATTCTAGGCTTACTCTGAAAAACCTTCTTATTAATCAATATTTTTTTTATGAATCCGAAAAGGAAAATATCTAATTACATTATTTAATCACCCTTCATTATGTGACATGAGTCATAAAATAAATAATGAGATTAAAGATGGAAAGATGTTTTAAGAATATCAGAATCTTATTTAATTTAGGCTGTTGTCAGGGAATAAAATCAACAATCTGCCGGAAGAAATGTCAATTCAGTTTCATTTGATGGACTTGGGTCAAATGTATGTATATAATGCGTATACATTTACGAAATCCTTCTTCGGAGATCTTGATTATTTAAACATGTTAAAGGATTGTGGAACAACGTCATGGTGCTTTAACGTTCCAATACATTCATTAATGTATTATGCTTCTACACATTTACACTTTACATTCTCTGTAAATATATATAAAAAATTTTAATTAACGCTATGATTAAATCCTATTAAAGACACACAAAATGAATACATTTTATGTGTAGGACTTTCTGCCTGTATCGAATGCAAATATGATATAATGTTCTTCACTTCATTTTAGAATTTTGCATGACAATCCGCTAACATGTAGCTGCCAAAATAGGTGGTTAATATCGTGGCAAATGAAAAGGTGCAAATTGCATAACAACACAAAGGAATGTGCTCTGATGTGCTTTCAGAATGGAACCAGTCTTTTCATGGAGAATTTTGATCTGAATAACTTAATTTGTGGTATGTTTTGAATTAAAAGATTTTGGTCAAAAATCCAATATCAGTTTATTTTTATAGGGTTTATGGTCTCGTCACGTGACTCACGAGAATTTACGATAAATTAGTAAGTAGAACCATTCGGAACTTTACTGTATTTTAAGTATATGCTGATTTTGTTTTACGCGTTTGAGGTTCCTCTTAGCTCTACTTCAGATTTGTATTGTTTCAATCGACTTTAAGCTTAAATACTTTTCACTATCTCCATACCTTGCATTTTTACTGTTTAGTCATGATTAATTCATATATAACATTAAACTTTTCTTTTCGAGGTTGTAAAGAACAATGTTATTGCAGTACTGCGAGTGTTGGATTATGTAAAGGTAATGAATTGTTGATTTTATCTATTAAAAATTATCAAAACCAAGAGAAACCATTCTTACACAATAATTAATGAAATACTTGTGTTGTAAAATTCATCGTTAAAACGTCATAACTTATTCTACTTCGCTCCGACGGAAAGCTGCCCTTTTTGTACGTACGTCTCTCCGTACCAGAATTCCGTCTCAGTTATCTCGACAAATGCTTATCGTAGATGATGAAATTTCAGAACTCACTTTGTTTAGGCATACAATATTGTTAGATTTATTTTTGTACGAATTTGATTTCCACATCACAGCCAGCGGGGGGTATTACTGGTGAACATTGGCTCACAAACTTTTTGTTTATTAGTTACCTGCTACGATGATTCTGCTGACCTACAAACACTTCAGTGTTCCTCCTGCCCAGAGGGATCACATCCTCTATTTGACGGGGCCTCAGGCTGTGTTTGTCAAAAAGGACACACTCTTGTAGATGGAGTCTGCGAACGTAAGAATAAATTTTGTATGTTAACCAACGTCACATTTGAGTAATTTTTCATTACAGTATATATGACATTGGCTAAATAAATACTCTTTCAATTGCACATCATACAAAGCAGTTTCAGGCACTGAACTAATTAGATGTTTTATACATGTAATTATGATCTTTTTTACTGTCTACAGAATGCCCAGAAGGGTCATTCAAGTCTTTCGTTGGCCAGGCACCATGTACAACCTGTCCACAGTACTCAACCAGTCATAGAGCTAGTACCTCGGCTGATCATTGTGTCTGTCAGTATGGAGAATTCAAAATACTCTCCGATCAAAAAAGAAAATGCCAACGTTATGAAAATGAGGAAATCGTGAGATTAGGTATACACTATTGATTTCTATCTTTAAAACCAAGTTAAGTTAAAATGTAATAGTTTTGCTTATTTTTATATATTAATGAATACATTTCATTTCAAAATAAATTTAAAAACACAGTTTACCAATAATCTACATTACATTTTAAGAGCTGTTTCATCTAATTGATTGACCCAAACGTACTGAATATCGCCATAAGCACAGATAATATAGATCTGTGTCAATCCCGAGTGCCATCAAAGAGACTTTTGATGATTAATTTAGTGCATTCATATCTAAAGAGAATTTTTCAATCGCCATTTATAATTATATTGTTATTTTTACCATTTAAAAAAATAAAATCAACCGATATCTGACTGATAATTCTCACATGTGTAAATTTTGAAAGCAATTTTTGAAGATCAAATTAAAGTAGGGATACCGAGCTTTAAAAAATACTAATTTTTTAAAATTTATATCGTTTTAATGAAAAAATTGTAGGCATAGGACCAGCTGTATCACCGATGAGGAACATATCAATTATAGGAAAGCCAAAATTGATTTCTGGTATAAATTTCACCAATGTCTTTATGTATCATTTTGAGTGTTATCACAGTTTTGTATTATTTGGCTATAACATTTTATATTGCTTTTAAGGATAAAAACACGTATTGTGTCTGTTTTATTTTTGTGTCTTATTTTCATTTTCACTTGAACTACATACAAGAAAGTTAAACAAGAAGTTAACTTTATAAATATTTTACTAACCAAATACTAGAAGACAAATAAAAGAGATTGGTTGCATGCTTAAAGTTTTTCGTACAAAATATATTTGTCACATTTTTAGGCATCTTTGAGTGAATTTAATAAAATTTTAATTTAATTTATCATGAAATGACAAAGTAAAGATAATAAATAGAAATTGAAGAAATTTGAATGAATAGTATGTCAAGAAAGTTCTTTTGATTTTGATTTGCAAGCAAAAGAATACCTGAAATTTATAACAAATTGAACTTGATTCATATAGTCAGATGTTTTATTCTTTGCTCCAATTGATTTTTTTTTTTTTGTTGGTTTCTTTAAAAATAAAACTGAAAAAAAGTGTAATTAATGTTTTAAATTTGATGTGAATAAAATCGGAGAGTGACAAAACTATAATGCATAAAATTATCGATAATCCCTAAAGGGTCAATTATATAAGGTACATGTAAGGATGGGTAATAGTTCATATTTTAGCAAATTATGTTTCGAAGGTATGGCTAATTCTTTATACATGTAAGAGAAAGATTGATAAATGTTCATTTTCATGGAAAGAAAAGGTAAAACCATTTTGCTTATGAAGGAAACAATCGATAACTGATTATTTCTTTAGGGAAGGGATCAGAAAAAATCTCTTTATGTATTATTTCCTTTCTGTAAGATTAAAACTTGCTTTGATTAGGTATGGAGCCACGGGTTACTTCTGCACCAAAGAAGAATGACCAATTGACAGAACATGAAAACAAATCGAAAACACCAGGTATACCCGGTATTTCTAGAATTATGATCAGTTTCTCACTCTTGCAATTCTGCAATTTGAAGTTTTTTAAAAGTAGAATTATTATTTTAGATAGATTGACTATTAAATGCGTAACACACATTTGGCAGTATTCAATCGTAATTCAGCAAGAATATCATTTTTATATTGGCAATTAAAACAACTGTATTAGAGAAATTTTAACTAGGATTAGTATGATGGTGAACTTTGCTACAATATATGTGTTTGATATTATTCAATTACATCGAGCTTTAAACTATACCCAATATTTCATTAAATGGTCTTTTCATCTATAAAATATTTCTTTTGAAAGATGATGTAGTGTTTGGCATCGTTGGAATTGTTATTGTTCTATTCTGTGCCGGTACTGGATTTTCAGTCTATAAATGGAAACAAAAACATCAAACGCATTTAAAATTTCCGAAACTGCTAACGGTTAGTATTGTTTATCTAATAATTTATATTTTGAAATCTAAATTTTCTAAGATCTTGCTTAATTTCTATTTAACAATTGCTGACTGACGGTTTTCAAACTAAATGTTAATCCATTATTTATACACTGAATTGACGACGGGTTTTACCGTTATTTCCCGATCATGATAAGGAGCACACTGCGAGTGTGACCGATCGGCAGGGGATGCTCACTCCTCCATGGCACCTGATCCCACCTCTGATGCTTTAGAGGTCCGTGTTTGCTCTGCTCCTATTTTGTATTGATCTGTAGACTTTGATATTGAATACTGTTCGTTATCTCCATATCCTTCATTCTGCTGAATAATATTATCACTTTCTTAGACCCCAGTTTTCAAGCGGATGCTGTATTACATTTTCTGAAACTTGAGGCAGAAAAAACGTATCACACTTTTTCAGGGCTTTATTGTAGAAAAAAGTTTTAAAAGTAGTATTATTAATTAAGATAGAAAGTTGTAAACAAAACAAATACTCTCTTTTTTAGGAATGTTAAGCAATCATTTAAAAATTACTAATTACTCTAAAAATTTGTGAGTATACAAATGAAATTCCTCATCTCAAACATCATGACGAAGTTATTTGAAGTCTTTATATGTTTTCCCGTGATACCTCAAATACTCGAATATCTCGAATTTTTCATCAATCCCATTGAGTTTGAAAAAAGTTTGAATGTATGTTCTTTGAATAATGATGCTAAAATTATTGTTTTCAGTAAAAAAAGAAACAAAAAAAAAAAACATGAAATTTATTTTTATTTTAAATCTACAATTTTTTTTAGTGTAAATCATCTTACCAGTACGAAGAGCGTCATGATTCCTTGATTTATTCTACCAAACTGGAGAATTATTACAAAGGACTGAAGGTGGCTTCCGGTCAGCTCAAAGTAGGAAAGGTGATTGGGCGTGGAGCCTTTGGAATGGTTCATGAGGGATATCTACGAGACACAAAAGATGAAAATGCAAAAAAGGTGGCCATTAAAAGACTAAAGGGTATATTTTTCTGATTATTATTATATCATTTGTATGATTATGACAATTTTCTGACTATATAATATGACAATTTTCTGATTATATAATAATATATGTCGACACAATACATCCCGGTGAGTTTGAACTAAAAGATACCACAGAGTCTGACACATCTGTTTTATATTTGCACATATAACCAGAAAAAGACCTTAAGGGTAACCTAAGACAAAGCTTTATGATAAATGTGGTGACCTCAACTAATATACAGTATATATACAGTGTAACAGGGTTCATATATCTGATGTACATGATGTATCCAAAGAAAGGTTGTTTAATTTTCAAAAGAATAAGTTTTTCATACTGAATACTGACCTGATAATTATTATATTGACATTTGAGGGGAAATATTAACTTGCTGCTTAATCTATGTCCAATTGTGCTGCATCCACGACTTTTCGGAACAGACATCATCTGTTTCAATACCTGCCTTCCCCTTTTCGTTTCAATGTAACACACTTAAAACCTTATAAGTAGCAAGTGTGAACAATGTGAACCTATGTATCACAAATTTGAGATATCTTTCGAAAATCAAAGAAAATTGTGGAATGAACTTTCTTACCACCCTTTATGTAGTCCTTTGCAAAATTATGCTTACTTCTATATTTAAAAAGTTAAAAATGCACCAAATGTATGAAAACTATAATTGAAACGAGAATTTACATCTTAGTTTTTTCTCCCGAGTTAAGTCGAGCTACACGTACTTTATTGCTATTTGACCATCATTTACCATGTTTACAGATTGAAAAAAAAAACCAAATGAACTTTAAAACGTATTTTGCAAGCTAGTTTTAAGACTTTTTTCTTTTAGTAATATGTACAAGAATATATAATCTGTGATACAACGTGTTTATATTATTCTCTTAATGAAAATTTTCTTTAACAGAATAAATAATTTCTCAAACAACATCTAATCTCCTTTTTTTCAATTAGAAGAGCGCGACTTTCCTTAAGATATACCACAACGTTAACCCTTACTGTATTATCTGTATCAGCGTCGACTTTAATTGAAATTCTAGTATATTTCGTTCAGAAACGAAGCTATTTAGTGCGAAACAATTTATCCTAATCAGGCACCTCCAGGAAATATCTCCCAGAAGCGCTCTTTCAAGAATCTCAAATATGATGTCATTAATTTCAGAGGAGGCCACTAGAGAAGAACAAGAGGCCCTGCAGTTGGAGCTGGACCATATGATGTATGTCGGGAAACATCCTAATATCATAGAGCTGATAGGCCTTTGTTCCATGAAAGGTATCAAAACCGTTTTTAATATATGACTTTATATCCATGCCTATATATTATATATTCACGACGGGGAGCCTGGGTTCGATCCTATAGCTAGTTCACGGCGCAAAGTTAAAGTTTCATACATGGTCAAGTAGTAACAGATCCTTCGGCAATCGATATTAGAAGTGAAAATTATCATATATGTCCTTAAAAACGAAGTCATGGTAGACTTTTGAAAAATAAAGAGCCCGCTAGCTCAATGAAAAAAGTGTCTAGTATAGGCCCAAATTTGAAAACCCTCAAAGTTACCATCTCATCTAAGTATAATATTCTTGCAACGGTGTAACAAAACAAATAATAAATCAATAAATTTTGTTTAACTTATCAATTATAATTTCTTTATTTAAAATAGGATCAATGATGCTGGTGCTTGAGTACGCTTGTAATGGTGATCTTCTGTCTTATCTAAGACGGTGCTCAACAATTCCAGGCTTACAGCTGAATACTCCTGGTTTTGGGTTTGACAAAAGAGCTGTTGAATTGTTTAGAACTCTGATCATGTTTGCATGGCATGTCTCAAAGGGAATGTGTCATTTGGAAAAACTAAAGGTATATTTTTTTAGTTCTTTTTTAAGTGAAGGGAAAACGATGTGATTTATTATGTTTTTTTACTTAGTGAAATGTGCACTTTTTAGCTCTGCTGGTCAGAGACCAGAAGAGCTTATCCGATAGTAATGCGTCCGTCGTCCGTCCGTCTGTCTGTCTGTCTGTCTGTCCGTCTGTAAACAATTTTTCAAAACGCTACTCCTCCTACAGTTTTGGTTTGATTTCAATATAACTTGGCACACAAGTAGACTACACTAAGATACATAATTCTGTGTATCGGTTTTTGATTTCGACAGACGGTGTTGCCGTGGTTACTAAAAATATAAATTTTTGTGAAAATCGTTCAAAATGCTACTTCTCGTACAGTTTAAGTCTGATTTCAATATAACTTGGCACACAAGTAGACCTCACTAAAATACATAATTCTGTATATCGATTTTTGATTTCGATGAACGGTGTTGCCATGTTACTAAAAATAGAAATTTTTATGAAAATCATTCAAAATGCTACTTCTCTTAAAGTTTAAGTCTGATTTCAATATAACTTGGCACACAAGTAGACTACACTAAGATACATAATTCTGTGTATCAGTTTTTGATTTCGATGAACGGTGTTGCCGTGGTTACTAAAAATAGAAATTCTTTGAAAAATATTCAAAATGCTACTTCTCGTACAGTTAGATACATAATTCTGTTTATCGGTTTAATTTTGATTTCAATGAACGGTATTGCCGTGGTAACTTAAAATAGAATTTTCTGTGAAAATCATTCAAAATTAACTTCTCCCACATTTTAAGTCTGATTTCAATATAACATGGCACATAAGTAGACTACACTAAGATACATAATTTTGTGTATCGGTTTTTGATTTCGATGAACGGTGTTGCTGTTTTTAAAATACATTCAAAATACTACTTCTCCTTCAGTTTTGGTCTGATTTTAATGTAACTTGGCACACAAGCAGACTACACTGAGATACATACTTATCAGTTTTGTGTTTTTGATTTTGATGACTTATGTTGCCATAGTAATTTAAATTGAAAATTCTGTAAAATTTTATTAAAAGCTACTCCTACAGTTGTAGTCTTATGGCAATCTTGACTCAAAAAGAGACTTAATCAAGGATCATTATTCTATTTATTGCTTTTGTAAAGTTTTAAGTCTTTACTGCTTCTTTTCTCTTTCGTTATTATAAGTACAAACCAGTAGAGCTACAGTCTTGACAGAGACTTCTGGTTTGCATTTGTCGTTGCTTTTCGAAAAAAAGGACTGTTAATTAAGAATAACATACTGTCATATTCTCATTGTCCATTGTGTTATACAGTTCCGAACAAGAAAGGCCTTATTGCAAGATAGACGGACTATTTAAAAATACATTGGAACATTTTCGTTTGTAGTGTATTCATAGAGATATTGCTGCAAGAAATATTCTACTTACGCAGGACCCGATTGCAAAAATATCTGATTTTGGGCTCTCAAGAGATGTGTATGAATCATCATATTATTTTAAAGTTTCAAAGGTAAGAACGTGGCAAATATATTCTCTCGAAAGACTCATTGTATTTGTGCACGGCACCTGCCTGGACCTCTCTATGTCTTTTTGTAGGGAAGGTTACCATTTAAATGGATGAGTCCTGAAGCTCTTTTGATGGGACAGTATTCCATTAAAAGTGATGTATGGTCCTTTGGAATACTGCTTTGGGAGGTTGTCACGCTTGGGGGTAACCCTTTTGCTGGAATTCCAGTTGAATCATTATGTGAAATGTATGCCCATAATTATCGGCTACCCAAACCAGCGACGTGTCCTGATTATCAGTAAGCTAAAAATAATTATAATATTGTTTTTTAAACTAAATTGTTCTGTTTTTTTATTGACTCACCTTTCAATAAATTTTCCTATTATAGCCATTTACATATTTATTTAAATAATTATATTTTTAACAATCAGTGCATTCCTCAAAACAACGAGGCAAAGGATTCTAAATAGAACTCTCTATTCCTTTTTTAGCTCACCTGAGCTGAAAGGGGAAGTGAACTTTTCTGATCACATTTTGTCTGTAGGCCGCCTCTCTGTACGTTTGTCCGTCTGTAAACTTTTCACAATTTCGACTTCTTCTCCAGAACCATTTGGCCAATTTCAACCAAACTGACCACAAAGCACTCTTGGGTGAAGGGGATACAAGTTTTTTTTTTTATCAAATGAAGGGCCATGTCCTTTTTCAAGGGGAGACAATCAAGAAAAATTGAAAATTTGGTAACATATGTTTAAGAAATCTTTTCAAGAACCACTGGGTCAGAAAATATGAAACTAATACGAAAGCATCTTCAGGTAGTGCAGATTCAAATTTGTTCAAATCATGACCTCCAGGGGTAGGGCGGGGCCACAATGGACGATCAAATTTTTACATAGGAATATTCAAGAAAAATTTTAAAAAACAAATCTTAAGAACAACAAAAGTCATGAATGACCATATTTATATGGAGGCATCCTCAGGTAGTGTAGATTCAAATTTGTTCATATTATGACCACCGGGGGTAGGATAGGGCCACAATGGACAATCAGATTTTCATATAGGAATATACTAATACAGTTCATGAAAAATCTCCTGATTGGTTACATGTATATTTGTAATGAAACATACTCAAGTAGTGTAGATTCAAGTTTGATCAAATCCTGACTCCTAGGGTAGGGTGTGGCCCATGGGCCTTTTGTTTTTTAATCTAGAAAATGTCTTTATACAGATTTACGTTCCGAGTTTAGTCTAAATACTACAACATAACATTCCGTGAATTTTATTTCTTACTATATTATAATTCCATTGCTTACATGTACTTTAATATGTTATCATTATTTTATGTTTTGAAAACCTATTTATTAGATACAAGCTGATGCTGGAATGCTGGGCTGAACGCACGCAAGATAGACCCTCCTTCAACGACATCGAGTCCAGATTAGATGGTTTGTTGCAGCGTGTTGCAAACAGGGTAATATAGATTTTTCATCGACTGAACTTAAAGATGAACTATGAAGATAAGGAAGAGTAATCGAAGTGAAAAGGTTATTTATTGAAACCCTAAAAATTGAGAGTAGAGAAAACATGGAACCCTATAGCTAAGTCATCAGGGGTGGGATACGGCGCTTTATGGTACCTCTATTTTGGACTTTGATAAACAATATTGAACTATTCTTACACAAAGTTATAAGTTCAATCTAGGGAATTAACAAATAATGACATTTAGACAGCTATTTTATTTCTTGTTTGTTGTTAATTAGGGATAACGAAGAATGAATACAATGATAAAATGAGATAAAATTTCTAAAAGTCCTCACTCTATGTTAACGTATTAACGTTAATAGAGAGAGAGAGAGATTCAGCATTGATAATTAATAACTATTGTTGATATAAGATGCACATAAATTATAGCAATATTACGGTTGATAAGATTGGGTACCAAATCTTTAGTGGTCAAAAGATTGATAAAGTGTAGGATTATAGGGTATAATAACCGGCACGTAGAACGACAACATTCGCGGACCTTTTCGTCCTAACCAAGGTCTTTCTAAAATTTCCACATAAAAACCTCTTACATTAGAAAAGGTCTTTTATTAAAATAGCTAAACAAATGCGTCAAAATAAAAAAAAAATGAAATTATATCTTTCTATGAGCAATTGAATGTCCTATTCCTTTTTAACAAGCAATATCTCTATTCTGATTTCATCGATTAAAAATATGCTCTTTGTATGTCTGAACACTCAAGTGATCTTTTCTGATCAATATTACAATGTATACGTCGTAAATTTTTCACACTTTTTTCATCTCAAGAACCACTGGACCTAATTCAACTAAACTTGCCACAAAGTATCCCGGGGTTAAGTGGATTCAATTTTTTTTTTTCAAATGAAGGACCACGCCCTCTTCCAATTGGAGATAATTATTAATTAATAAAAATTGATGGCATCTGGAGAAACTTCAAGAGTACTAAGCAACAATATATTCAAGAAGTGGTGTAAATCAGATTTGGATACTCATAAATTCCAAGGGACTTTTGGACCATTTGAAATCACAAGATTTTACCAAAATCAACTTACGACTTTTCGACTTTATACAAAACCATTCCTCATGATAAATTAAGTCCAGGTTTTTAGATATCATAGACAACCGCATTTTTAATTAGAATGGAATTCGTATATTTACTTACCTAGTCATTGGTCATTTGCAAAATTATTTTGTGAAAAACATTCTGATCGTACACACAAGTACTCTGAAGGTGACATGAAAAAAATGCTTGAGTTTCTGATGGACAATATGAAACATATGGAGATAACGAACAGTATTCAAGATCATAAGTCCATAAAACAATACAGAACAGGAGCAGAGCAAACACAGACCTCCAAAACATCAGAGATGGGATCAGGTGCCATGGAGGAGTAAGCATCGCCTACCGACCGGTCACATCCGCCTAGTGCTCCTTGTCATGATTAGGAAATAACGGGAAAATCCGTCGTCAATTAAGTGTATAAATAATGGACTAACAATTAGTATGAAAAACGTCAGTGAGCATTTGACTCTATGATAAATTGTCTTTGCTGACAAGGTCATTGTATCGACCACAGAACTTATGAAATGATGACTTTACACGAGACTGCTGGTATTCTTGTTCCATCAACTTGTGTGTCAATAATTGATTGATTGTATGTTGTTCAACGTCTCTCTCGAGAATTTTTCACTCATATGGAGACCTATGCTCGGTACTCAGGGCCATTGAGCAGTGAGGGTTTTTTATCGTACCAACGCCTACAGTTACACGGTCCCTACGTTTTTAAGGTCATATCCGAAAGACCCGTGCCTTTCATTTGTAGTGCCAAGCGCTCGGCGAAGGAACAGTCACTACCTATGTTTAATGTCTTAGGTATATGACGCGGTGCCGCGAACGAGGATCGAACCCGGGTGTTCCGATTATGAAGCGAACGTTCTACCACTAGGCTACCGTGACCGGTATGTCAATAATTTACCTCGTTTTAGAAATTGTCCATAGGTAGAGTATGTTCTTGCGTATCGAGTCAACTGAGATATAAATTCCGTATGCATGTGATCACTCCTCCATGGTACCTGATCCCACCTCTGGTGTTTGAGGTCCGTGTTTGCTCTGCTGCTATTTTGTATTGTTTTATGGATCTTGAATACTGTCCGTTATCTCCATAAGTTTCATTTGAAAAATCTTCTCAAGAAACACTGGTCCAGGAAAGATGAAAGTCATATGGGAGCATTCTCATGTAGTGTAGATTCAAGTTTATTCAAAGCATAACTCCCCGAGGTATGTAGACCCACAATAGGTGATCAAACTTTAACATGGGAATACATATATATTTAGGAAAAATAAAAAAAAAACTTTTTTAATTAACAGTAAAGGTCATGATTTGTCATAATTATATGGAAGCATCCTGAGGTAGAGTAGATTTAAGCTTGTTCAAATCATGACCCCATGGGTAGGGTGGGTCATAATTGATGATCATTGATCAAAGTTTTGCATATGAATCCATTGGGAAAATCTTTAAAAATCTTCATCTGAGGAACAGCAAAGCTGCTGTTCATATTCATGTGGATGCATCTCCAGGTATATTTCATGTTTGCTCAAATCAAGACCCTCATGGGGTAACGTTGGGTCACAAAAGATGGTCAAAATTTTACCTATGATAATTTAAGGAAAACATTAAAAATTTCGCTAATTGCAAAACCATGATTGGTCATACGCATATGGAAACCATCCTCGGGTAGAGTAAATTCGAGTTTGTTCAAATTATGACCCCCAGGAGTAGGGTGGATCACAGTGAGTGATCAATGTTTTACATAGGAATACATAGGGAATGTCTTCTTGAGAATAGCAAAACTGTGATTAGTCATATTTATACCTTTCATTACTAAACTGATTAATTTTCTGTTTTTCCTGATCAATGTGCTCAGTTGAGCGATGTGGCCCCCTGGTCTCTTATTAACAGACTTTGATCCAGTATTTATTTTTTGTATTAGATAGATAGAAAGATAGATTGACAATAAAAGTCATTATTACCCCGTCCATTTAATTATATAACGGAGGTGATATAATGGTTGTTTCTTTACAGGACTATATTAACTTATTGGAGGAAGAGAATACTCGTCCGCGTCACCAAAACCGTATCAGGGACTCCACAGAAAACAAAACTACGTGTTTGTCAGCTGTCTATGACACTGACTCGGACGACATGACTTTTCACGAGTCATCTGATTCGGACTCAATCACGGAGATAAATTCAGACATGTTGTTGCACCAAGCACATCGAAGCCATCCAACGCGAAAAACGTCACAACAAAGTGCATCGGATCGGCAGTCAGCGACGTCAAAACCCAACCAAGAGTCGTCTCAACTAGTGAGCTCCATAGAATTACAAAATTTGTCTGATAGCAAAATCCAAATGTTGTCGAATCCAATTTATGGTTCAAGAAGAAAGTTGAAAGAAACGAAGTGCACATGAAATTTAAAACCGCAACTATTAAGTTACTAGGAAATGTCAAGGAAAACCATGCAAATCTTGATTTGCAAAAGACACTACGCCACATCCTTGACTTTCAAATAACAGAGGTGCTTACGAAACATAAAAAAGGACTTAATTACATGGATAAGTACAACATAGTAGTAACTTCCTTTTAATGGTAGAAAAGATTGAAATCTATCATACATAATTTTGTTATTAATTATATTCAATAATTTGATCGGTTTTAAGAAATATACATACTATACATACAGTATTTGCTGATAGCATAATTTCCCAAAATCTGCAACAAAGTATTTATTTACGTATGTTTGTGTATACGAATAAATGAGTTTCTTATTTTGAGTTTTTCTTTTAATATCTGATGCCCCTTGGCTGAATATTATGATTCGAAAATGATTTAACATTTTTTAATATTGGTATTTATTGCCCTTTAAGGGAATTACACTATGTTCGCCGAGAAAAAAAAACATTCTTCATGTATAAAGAGTGATTTCCTTTCGATGTTTTTCTACAAAATACACAAAAGTCATGTAATTCCAAAAAAAAAAAATCCGAAATACTCATTTCTATTTTTCTAAACATGCCATCATTTATATCCTTTAATTTCTGATTCTCTCAAGATATCATACATGTAAGTATAAAGACATATGATGCATCACAAAGGGAACATACAGCAATATTTATAAGGTGGTCTTTATTCCTCGATCAAACTTATGAGTTACATATATTGAAACATAATGGAACATTTCCACTTGAATTCGAAATATTTTGATAGAATGAACTGGGATTCATAAATTTGAAAATATTAATAGATTTATTATGTAATTGCTTCTATAAAACTAGGTTTTATAACTCGATTTAGAATGTGAGATTCAGAGAATAAAGAACCATTAATTAAGTAAAATAGAATCCAAAGTCTACTGATTAAAAAGCTTGGATGCAATTATAACCAAGAAACATTAATTTCAATACAGGAGTATGAAAAAAGTGAAGATAACGAACAGGGAATGTCTAATAATTAACCGTGTGAACATGATCAATCGTAAAATGTATGTGCTTTCCAAATTTGACACTAGAGGTGGAGCGAGGCGCCTCATATCTAGAAGTGTTGGTTTCCCTAGTCCGCCGATCAACCCGCGGTAACGTTGCAATCCCTAAGTGTAATGGGCTGACCATTAGTGGAATACATTTAAAAAACAATAATTTAAACACGCCCAAAGGATATGTCCTATTCACAAGCAAGTCAGTTATTAAATTTGCGAAGTGCTGACCTTAAACGAAATCTCAAATGTTGGGTAGAGGAACTCTAGGTTATCCTAATCATGAACATTGATAAAATTTCAGGAGCAGAAAGAAGATTTCCAACTGATTATTCTATTTTCTCTAAAAAAAACAAAAAAAAAAAAAAAAAAAAAAAAAAAAAAAAAAAAAACAACATTGGAATCCTGTCGAGACGTTTAAATCCCTGACTCGGACACTATGGAAAGTAAAGTAAAATTTAAAAATTAAATTAAAAAATTGAAGAGGTACCCTTGCTCATCATAAACATGCACTTAGAATGTTTGCTATGAAATATATAAAGATAATGCACAGCATTCAAGCTCAAATGTCCATAAAACAATACAAAAAGAAGAGAAAACACGGACCTCCAAAACATCAGAGGTTGGATCAGGTGCCGGGGAGGATTGAGCATCCGCTGCCGATCGGTCACATCGGCTGTGTGTTCATTGTCATGATCGGAAATAACGGCGGGAGTGACCGGTAGAGAGTGGATGCTCACTCCTCCATGGTACCTGATCCAACGTATGTTTTTTTCGGATGTCGTGTTTTCTCTGAAACAATATTTTGTATAGTTTGACTTTTGAGCTTGAACACTGTTCGTTCTTTCCTAATATTTCATGTTTTATACCAAATACTACATTTTCATCATAAATTCTGACATCAGAACATCTAACCCAGAGTCCATTAATTTAAAAAAAATCACGGATGAGGCATCTTTGTTTGACATGTTTGGACTGTTCAGCCAGTTCCAGCATTTTTACAGACTATAAATTACAATTATTTTAAAACAAATTATGAAATAAATAACACCCAAAACAATAAATGAATCTGATGTGTTAAAGAAGACATTACTGAAAACACTTTTTTTTAAAGGAAATTTTCCATGAACTTTGAAAATTATATTCTCATAGTGGATGACTGTCCTTGCCTTGTTCAACCTCTTATTCTTCAAATCTTCTTCATCCTTTGATGTTCAATCCATACAAATTTAATTTGAAATACTCCAAAATGTGTAAACAACGTACATAAGGAATAGTTTACCTCAGATAAAATAAAAATCTACATAGAATCCCTCCATAAGACTCTTGACAAAGGATGTATTCGCTTTAACAAAAGAATTGACCTATAGGAGAGAACAATTTCCCGGAAAAAGTGACATTGAATAATTAAGCTTTATTTGTTGTTTTCTACCGTACATATGTCTAAATTTTCCAAATTTGCATGTTATACCTAAAATTTATTATTTATAACTTTACAATAAACCTTCAAAGTTGACTGAAACACCATTTTGTCCGTTAAAGCATTGGTTTTTGCATGAATTTTGGCCTAGAAGTCCTTCAGGGCAGGCCTGCCCCTAAATACAATTGTGATATTTTGATAGGTCGTGATGTAAGGTATGATTTAAGATAGGATTTTTTAGGGGCACCCCTGCCCTAGGGTCGAAATTCCCAAAAAACCTACAAAAAATAAGGAAACCTGATTTTGAAAATCTGCTTTAAATTTCGAGCTGTTGTTTTTATAGACCGACTAGCTCAGTTGATATATAAGTTGGTTTTACTCCGTGAAATGCTTCTTTTTAAAGTCGCGGGTTCGAATCCACCTGGCACCACACTTTTAAAGTTTTAAATTTCGCCTTTTCAAAGACAATTTAATTTTTTTTAATAGACTTGTGTATTTTCCTTCAATTATCTATCGTTTATGTATGCCCATTCTTGATAGAAGAAAAACTAAAGAGATGTCAAATCGAAACAATCAAATGTACAGTTGTCAGTCAGGCGGAACATACCTCAGTATAAGCACACTTTCTCCGAGGACAAGAGTAACTCACTCTGTGTTATTTGATACAGATATTCTTGACAGCATTGAGCTGCGTCGAATTTCAATTGTAAATATTCCTTAGAATTTAATCACATTGATTTTGGCTACATATATCAGTAACTGCACTCCCTTGGATTTCATTTAGGCCTATATAATTTGCACACATCAATGAAATTTTTATCATATCCACGGATAAATTAGACATAAAGAATAGAATTTGGAAAATTACATTACCATTATGCACAATGAGAAGTAAAGACAAATATCAATTATTACATTTGGAGATAACAAACTCAGAAAATCAATGACAAGGTTTCTTCTACCTCTACTCACTGAAATAAAGATTTAGGAAAAAACAAATTGTTAAATGTATTCGGCCTAATGTCATTAATCGGAACGGAAATCGACAAGCTTTTTGTAGAGAAAAAAACCAAGCCCGTTCCTATAAGTCAGATCCCTATTTATAATGAAGTGATCCTTTCTCAAAAAGATTTCCACTTAGCAAGTAAATTGGTTTGTTGAACTGATGCAGTTTTATAACAAAATTTTAACCAAATATTAGTACATTAGTTAAGGGAAAAGAAGGATATACAGATAAAAACAGTATTCAAGATCAAAGTCCATAAAACAATACAAAATAGGAGCAGAGCAAACACGGACCTCCGAAACTTCAGAGGTGGGATCAGGTGCCATGGAGGAGTAAGCATCACCTGCTGACCGGTCACACGCGCCGTGTGCTCCTTGTCATGGTCGTGAAATAACGGGAAAATCCGTCGTCAATTCAGTGTATAAATAATGGACTAACAATGCGCATGAAAAATGTCAGTCAGCTTTTGACTCAATGATAAATTGTATTTGCTGACAAGATCATTGTATCGACCATAGAACTTGCAAAAATGGTGACTTTAAACGAGACTGCTGATATTCTTGTTTCATTAACTTGCTTGTCAATAATTTACCTCGTTTTGGAAATTGTTCATACATAGAACACGCTCTTGCGTATCGAATTAACTGAGATATATACACTCCGTATACAGATGATGAAGATATATTTCTGCATAAGTAAGGGAAGTTGACAATAGAAAAGTTTAAGTCGTCACGATTATCCTATAACTTGGTTGTTAGGTTACCACTAACGTCTTTTTCAAGTAAAATATTCAAGTATGAAACAAATGTGTCAAACTCTATGGTATCTTTTATCTCAGGCTCTCCTGGATATATCGTATCGACGTAGGAATGGAAATTACCATTGTTAATTGACAATACGTCGTCGATATATCTGAAAGTCGAGTTGAAGTCCACAGCAAGTGTTTTCTGCTTTTCACGCATAAGATTTTGCATAAATTCTGATTCATATGAATACAAAAATAGGTCTGCTAATAACGGATCGCAATTGGTTCCCATGGGAATTCAAATAGATTGTTGGAAGACCTGGTCTCCAAAAACCACATGGATATTGTCAATCAGAAACTCAAGCATCTTCTTGATGTCAACTTCAGAGTACTTGTGGGTGCAATCAGAATCTATTTTAACAAAATAATTTTGCAAATGACCAATGACCAGGTAAGTAAATTAACGAGTTCCATTTTTATTGAAGAAGCAGCTGTCAATGATATCAAAAAGCCTGGATTTTAATTCATCGTGGGGAATAGTTGTGTATAAAGTTGAAAAGTCGTAAGTTTTTACATTAAAGGCAGAGATTTTAAGCACCGCCTTCAGGAATACCTGGTCTGGGTATAGCCCTGTCAATCAAGTGCGTGAAGGTCCATCATTGGATGCTGGAACTTGATTGACATTTACTTACTGGTCTCTGTGTATACCCTGTACACCTTGTTTGGGACTCGTAGGGACCTTGTAATTAACTTTTGATCCTTTGATGTTTACTGAACATGGTATACAGAAACTGTATTTAATACTATGAAAATGTTTAGATTGAAAATATATATAACATGTATAAATTAAATATACCTTTAGTATTTGAAAGGATTATAATATAATATGCATTTTTTTTAAACAAAATTAACCTTTGAAACAAAAAACTTTTTTATCAAATAAAATTTCGATATTAATTTTAATATGCTAAATGGTAAACCTAAAGTTGATATATTATTGATAAAGTTCAGAGCAGCACTCTGTGAAGTATAATTTAAAAAAAATAATGTTTCTAATCATGGGTCACTTATATTTTCCTTTTTTTAATCAGACAGAATTTACAAGCAATCTTTTAGCATGTTCATGGTCACAAAGCTTTGTTAAGGTTATGATAAATCTAGATATTTTTTTTTTTAGTGAAATGTAGTTAACATGGCTCTCTTTTCATTTGATTAATAGATGGGATCCTGTGGATGAATGAATTAAGTCAAATTTGGTTGATACAGGAGTTGTTGTTTTTTTTTAATTAACACTTATGCTAACATCTAAATCAATTTTGTTTTAATATTTGAATTTATAGTATGATATCATAATTTTTTTAAATGGCTAGATGTTTTTTCAAACAGCCAAAAATAAATCAATATATAATTGAAAAACCCTTATACTACTAATTTTAAAATTGTCTCAAAAATCCCCAACACAGGTAAAGTTTGACACCTGGGGGTATTTCACTGTGTATTAAATCACTTCCTGTGTATAGGGATTAGGATAGAGATGACCACAGGTAGACTGCTAGCCCCCAAGGCATTCACACCTGTACAAAATAAGCCCCTCCCTCACCTGGAATTTACCACCCGGTAAAAAATCTCTGCCTTTAAGCTGTTGATTTTGCTAAAATCTTATGATTTCAAATTGTCCAAAAGTTGTTTAAAATTTTTTAGTATCCACATCTGATTCACACCACTTCTTGAATATATAGTACACAGTATTCTTGAAGTTTTTCCTTCACTACTGTCAATATCTTAGTGAGGAGTAACGAAAGAGGCTTTGTGAACATTTACTGGAAGCCGCAATGTATCTTTGTAAGGATTCTTATGAAGTTTCGGAATCCAATATATATATATATAAGGCAGTTCAAATTCATTTTGGCTCAGTGGAATATTAAAAATATTCATATGATTTTGAAGAATTTCTTCCTTAAAAAGGGAAGTATAAGTAGGATTACCAATTGTAGAATTAAATGCAAGTTCTTCTAAAATACAATTTATATAATGAGACTTACAAACAAAGACAATGTTGTTACCTGTTTTGTCGGCGGGGACCAGTACGTACTGATCATGTAATCTATCCAATTCTTTTTTCACTTCTGGTTTATTGAACACAGGATAGATTGTTTTCATATTGCCCCTCAATCATTTAATACGTGACTTAAAACCAATCTAATAAGTGAGCAAGTCTCTTAGACGAATTTCATGTTACTATACAGTGTTCATTCAATCAAATTCCAGTCCTGGCAAGTAAGTGTTATTTTGGTGCTACATTTACCGACATGAAACCTGACCACTGATAATCTAGTTAAGTCACCTGATATTAATCAAATCCATTTCTCAGATACATTTTTGAGACAACACGACAGATTTACTAGTATTTCATTATCACTGCATCAAGGCAATGCTTTACAATGTAGGAATTATAAACAAAAACACATCATTTAGAAATGAAAGTTTAATAAAATTTTAATGACATGTGAGTTCACATTCAATAAGTTACAGATCCTCTCAAGCAAACCTTTTAATCTCCACCTACATACCAGCAGGTGAGAATTACAAGTCCCTGGTCTCTTCAATGAGGAGTAAATCACAAGAAAATACCTGGTCTCTTCTTGTACAACATATTTATACTTTTTCATTTTTTAAAGTAACATATTTTCTAACACTTTCGGAAACTAAACTTAAAGAAAAGAATTTTCCTACAGTCACTTATGAGACATTTAATATAGCACTATTTATAAGTGTTAGAATATAAGCACTTGTAGACCTTATTTTTCGGATATTTTCGATCATTATACAAAATTCATTAAATCTAGAAATACACAAAGCAAAATTACTTGGCAAAATATTAACAGATAGGTATAATTTTTCAAATTAATAATGTCACAGAATGTGAAATGAATAGATGTATTTTTCTCTATCTGTGTTTAGACCTAGCCCTTTCACTGAAGTACAAATTATCTCTTCAATTTTTTTCTAGTTTCTCATTCTCCCCCACTAGAAAAAATTAAAATAAACTGATGCAAAAAACAAAAGTATCCCAAATACTATTTCTATCAAAACTTAACTGCACTTTTATATAAAAAAAAATGTAATTTTCTTTTGAGAAACTCAACAAAAGTACATGTAACATAATGCTTAATTAATATATTCTTCTGAATTTGAAACATCTCACAAGGAAATAATACTGAGAACAATTCTGTGCATTATGCATTGAAGTCAACATCCACTCAAAACTTATACACTTAATGCAGAAACAGGGGGAAATTATCACTTTTTAAACAGCACTTATAAAGTAAAGCTGTTACTATGGAAACCAAGGAAAATAAACATCCAATTTGTCTTTGTTTGGTGATGTTTACATGTTTTGTTGATAATGTATGGAGTCTAATTCAGTCTCTAAGTAGTGTTGTCATTCTCGATCTAGTGAAGCATAAAGTTTTGTCCATGCTTTAGCTGAAAAATAAAATAAAAACTAGAACTGTCCAATCGGGACAAAATACCCCCCGCTGGGTTTTTCAGAAGTAAGTTTTTGTATAATAAAGATATGTATCAAACACGAATTATAAAATTTTTCTTCCAGTGACCTTGAACTTCCCCAAATGACCTTGGGTCAAGGTCATGACACACCCTTGGGTCATGGGCAATCTTTGAGTGAAATAAGAACCTACCAAGTTTATCCATAAGAAAGATATGGACCGGACACGAATTATTAAAAGTGACCTTGAACTTCCCCACATGACCTTGGGTCAAGGTCATGACACATCATGGGCAATCTTTGTGTGAAATGAAAACCTACCAATTTTACATAAGAAAGATATAGACCTACGAATTATGAAATTTTTCTTCCAGTGAGAACTTCCCCAAATGACCTTGGGTCAAGGTCATGACACACCCTTGGGTCATGGGCAATCATTGTGTGAAATGAGAACCTACCAAGCTTATCCATAAAAGATATGTGTCAAACAAATTTTGAAATTTTTCTCCCAGTGACCTTGAACTTCCCCAAATTTTCAAGGTCATGACACACCCTTGGGTCATGGGCAATCTTTGTGTGAAATGAGAACCTACCAAGTTTATCCATAAGAAAGATATGGACCGGACACGAATTATGAAATTTTTCTTCCAGTGACCTTGAACTTCCCCAAATGACCTTGGGTCAAGGTCATGACACACCCTTAGGTTATGAGCAATCTTAATGTGGAGTAGTAGATTCTAATGTCCCTCTGTAAGAAAGATATGGACCGGACACGATTGCACGGACAGACGGACAGACGGACAGACAGACAGACGGACAGACAGACAGACGGACAGCTAGACAGACAGACAGACGGACAAGGTGATTCCTATATACCCCCCCAAACTTCGTTTGCGGGGGGTATAACAAAGGTAAGCAAAAATCACAAAACTCCACTTTAGGCTATAGTTAAAACAAAGATCCATGCTAAAGAATGTTTTGATGATATAAGTCACAGATATAGCACCTAAGTTTAGTCCACAATCATCTAATATTTGTTTATTTTATACTTTCATGTAAATTAGCTGAATCTGATAGGTCGAGAAACATTTGTTAAAAAACACTATTACCCGCTGAATAATGAAGCCACGCCCTCCAGCGTAGCAACAGTCAACATTGCTTGACGACAGGTGATATTAAAAAAAAAATGACTGCGCAGAATTCCTGTGTGCACAGTTCACTGTTATATGTATTTGTATAAAACATTCAGTATAACATAATAAATATTGCATGTAGTTGAGTGTTACATTGAAAATTTTCACCCCAAGAAAACCTTTATAGAATATATTTTTTCAGTGTCCAAAAAACATTTAGCACTAATGTAGAGAGGGTCCTTGAGAATGACTTTAAATACCACAGTCTTGATCGTCTTGTTCATCATGAAATAAAGAATTCTTAATTTCATAAGTCACTTCCTAAGAATACAGATATCAATAAATGTTTCCAGATTATTTTTAAACAACATGGATGTGGAGAACTGCTCTTAATCCACTAACTTGTTTTTTCAGAAATGAACCATCCACATTACTAAGGCCATATAAAATTGAAATCTTGGTTCTCAGGCCCGCGCGCATCCGTTTTGAGGTAGCCGCATTGCCGATTTTATTGCATTTTTGATAAAATAAAAAGTTGGTATTGCGGAGACCAATCCGGAAAAAAAATTTCCGACCTCATTTGTTTCGCAGTTTAGTATTCAAATATCACTTTCGGTAGCCATTTACAATGAGATTTTGGCTACTTCGTTTGAAAATACATTCGAGGACATTACCTATGATGTTTACACGCTGTTAAGCAATGGATAAAGCAGAAATTTTGACCAGAAATGGAAAGTATATCTGTGATTAAAAAAATTGTCTTTAGGCAAAAAAAAATTAATTTCTTGGTTCTCAGGCCCTCCCTCGTCTCTTTCAAGGGTGCCTCATTGACCCTTTTTATTGCTAAATCAATGAAATATAAACACCAAATCACCTCCCTCATCATTTTTTGTGGTTTTGTACAATGTAAAAAGCTGCCTCATCATGTTTTGGTGGCAATAAAAAAGAAAAAAAAAATGCCTCCCTCCCTCATCATATTTCTTGAAAAAAGGCCTGAGAACCAAGTAATTAACTTTGCATGGCCTTATGTTAAATTAAAATTAAAAAAAATACCTCCCTCATCTACTTGATTGCCAATAAAATGAAAAATAAAATGCCGCCCTCCCGCATCTGTTTTGGAGAAAATTGGCCTGAGAACCAGGGGATTAAATTTAGATTGCCTAAGAGTTACTTTTTATAACTGGCAGATATAAATAAAAATCTCCTATCAAGTAGTACCTGTTTGTATTGCTTGTGATTCGTTAACTTTCCATTGCTCGGCTACATCGTTAGCAACTCTTAGGAGCACTCAAATAAAGCCTGTACTGTATATTTGTAGGGTAATTTTATCTGAAACAAGACAAAATTGACACACAAATCAATGTATATGTAGTACATTTCAGTAATTTTATGACAAAATTAAGCACTTAATAAATCAAAAGAAAACACTCTAAATGCACTTTTTTGTGAATGCTTAACAGATTACTTGCAACTTCCTTACCTTTTAAAATATCTAAACATATTCTACCCAATTTATCAATATTAGGATGATAAATCTTTGTCATAAAGCGGACTTTAGGTGCTGACATTGGGTATTCTTCTGGTAAAAAAAGTTCTAATTTAAATGTTCCTCCTTCATATGGTGACTGCAAAAGAAACAGAACAGAATAAACATTATTGACAGCAGAAAGTAATCTAATTCAAGTGTCTTAATTAAAAATAAGAACCCAAAGGATGTTAACGAGGCCCAATCTACTTGATCTGCGCATACACTTTAACGCAGCATCGACTCAGGCATGTCACAGTACCCTTGACTGCCGTCACAATTGTATACAATAAACGTCACAATTAAAATGACATCAAATTGTGCTGAAATGCAATAAAGGCTACCTCCAATTTTCTTTTTTTTTATAAGAAAAATGAAAATTACATGACATATGTGAAAAACAAAACATTTCATCATTTATTTTTTTTAATTTGTCAATTTCTTTGTTTATTGGAGAGTTTTAGCATGAAATTGTGTATAAAAACACAAAAAATAGTCCATATCTTGACAGTGCCCCCATTTGATTAAAATAAAGGCAAGGTAACAAAATTTCATTCTAATTTTTCTTAGCATAATACATACAAAAATATTTCCAAGAATTAAATTTTTTTATCATTCCGTTTTTGTAATTTTCAACTAGATCGGGCCTCGTTAAGAGAGAATACTTGTGCATTGAGTAACTGTTTAAGATGAAATACAAAGGAAACTGATTTAAATTCTAGTTTTGCTGATTTCATTGTAAACACAAATTACACAAAGAGGGATGGAGGCTAATTGAAGAATTTCTAATATGTAGATCATCTTTATAATCAACCAGTTATAATAACATGGAGATGCCTGACTGATAAAGGGCTATCTTCTTCACATGGATATGCCTACCTCTGCAGGACCAGCTACTATTACATGGAAATATCTGGCATTACTTTCATCTGGCATTGCTTGAATCCCAGGTACTGGTTCTTGTAGCAATCGTTGTGTTTCCTGTGGAAATAAAAATTGACATTCATTACTGGATTCACGTTACATGTTAAGTCAGCTTCAACCTGCTTACTTCAGTATCTTTGTTCAAATGCGAGCAACTTCTTAACATACTATATGGAGTTAACTGTGTAATACATAACATATTACAACTAAATTTAACTCACTCTATAACCTATATGACAAAGTACATTAATTAAGTGACTTTTTTAAAAAAAAATTGTCAAATGAAAAAATTATAATTTAACCCCCCACCCCACCTCTCCTATCTCCCACCCAATCCCGACCTGCCTTAACATCAAGAATTCCTCATTCACCACTAAAAATAATTTCAAAGCATTAACAACTTAACAGACTTAATTACAGCATCAAAAATGATAAATCTTTGTCATAAAGCTGACTTTAGCTGCAGACACTAGGTATTCTTATGGTAAAAAAAAAATCTCTTAATTCATATACAATCTATTAAACTTGTACATGTACTTCCAAATCTTATCTTTACCAATGTTCATGTATAGTCACCCACATATTTATGTCTACACATATAGAAGTCAAATGCTTAACTTCAACTATGACTGCACTTCCTTTGACAACCCCAGACTATGAATCTTCTATACATGCTATACACTGTTATGCAACATCCTTCATTTGTTATGATTAGACAATTATGAAACTATGGGAACAACAAAGAATGGGAGCAATAGATCTAGATATTACAATGTAACATTACCAAGTCTTGAGGGAGATTTTTTTTTTTTACTTGTTATGAACTTATCTATCCTTACCTATTAAAATTATACCCCTTTATCTAATATCATTAATTAAAAAAAAAAATGTACACTTCTGTTTTCACAGATGTATTTCTAATTTTCTATGCTTTCTCTTTTAAAGAAAAGAACTCAATAATTTTTTTTTAACTCTTTACTCTTGTTAACTTAGTTAAATCATTATGAGATGAAAAACATTTTTAAAAGAATCAAAGTTCCTACTTAGTACCATCTTCACTAGCCAAGGGTTTCCGGTACACTACTCCTCCTCATAAACCCTTGGTATACGGTGCTGTGAAAAGACAGGATTTTTTTTTGTCACGTAATGTCGAATTTTGAACAGGTACGCACACACAAATTGCATCATCAACAGAAATAACTAATGTATTTAAATCATGAAAGTTTTTCAAGAATAATTAACAAGAAGGTATCGAGTTTTCATTTGTTATTTAATGTGCAAATCTACATCTTCAATATAGATTCCAATTCATATTTGCACATATCTAAAGATTTTGGATGATACCATATCTATTTATAGAATAGCATGTGATTGTTGTGACTTGCATTTTTCAATTCTGAGAGTGAAGAGTCAAAATATGGTTATTTACAAAAAACAATATCTGGTTGATCCACTCCAATCACAACTTGAGAGAAAAATACCAATTTTTTTTAACACCGTATGCCAAGAGCTTATGAGAAGAGTAGCGTATCAGAAACCCTTGTCTAGCGAAGATGACTTAGTACTATTATAATATTATAACAACTTCTATTTTTTTGAATTAACAAAGCTATTCCTAGTAGTCTAAAATTTTTTAAAAAGGATTTCCTATGGTTTATGGTTTTGTATACATTATTTCCAACATGTTGTGTGTTCTCTATCTCTTTGCCACAGGGGGAAAAAAAAGAGTAAGAAGCAAATCATATTCAAATTTAGTTAATCAGAGATTTTCTTTATTTACTTTTAGAAAAATTGATCTTCCATGGTGTCACTGTGTGTAAAACAGTTCAACACAAGAGTTATTGCAGCCCGGAGGACCGGGCTGCTCTATACATATAAGTTTAAGTGTTGGTGTATAGAGATTCAGAGGGGAGAAGTTATTCATAATTAAAGGTTTCTAAACATTAAAAAAATTATTAATCAGAATGTTCTTTCCCTTTATAAATTACAAGATACACACTATATTAACTTCCACAAACTGAATCTGTAAAAAAATACTATGTTTTTTTTTTTTTACATTTAATATACAAAGTTGCTTATCATTTACTATCGAAAAAATGTCAGGTCCCTTTTTAGAACATCAAATTTTACTTATCGCATAAAAAAGTACTGTACACAGTTAGTGTTTTATATTCTTAAAGTGAAATACATTTTTGAAAATAGATGATGCATGTGTCTGGTTTCAATTTATATTTTATGCAGCCAACATATTTACTTGAGGAATTGATAAAGTTTTAAAAGGGAATCGTTTTTGTTCAATTTTCATCTGACTTTAAGTTTTCAAAATGTTCTCTACTATCGTCTCCATCATTTAGACGCATGCCTTTTTCACACACATCGAAGCAGTTAGATGATCAAGACTCATTTCAATTGCTTACTTTATTTCCCGGACGAAAATTATTGAAGGTTACATAAAAGTTTTCTTATCATGTTTTTATTTAAATGAATGATTTGACCTAAATATAAATGTATATCACTGACAAATGTATAGAGGAATAAATATGTGATTACATACGATTATTGACTTTTGACAAGGTCTACTCATGACAATACAGACCGAATCCGGGATGTTTCGCGCCGATTCTGTTTCGCACTGAGATGGTTCGCGCCTGGATGATTCGCGCCGATTTCGGTGCGAAACATCTCCCCTCTTTTTTTATATTTCATTTATTTAGTAATAATTTAAGGTCATGTATTCATGGTATTAAATCTTAGATATAAATATGTGTTACATGCTCAAAATCATGACTTAATAATATGCAGTGACACAGGTAACGGATCGTAAATGTTAATATGGTGCCCGTTTGCTCAGCGTGTGTGTTCAACAATTTAATTGTGATTAGGCCCCTAGTTGGAGATCAAAAGGTGAGAATTATTTCATTACAACAATTATAAAGTCGTACAGCAATTATCTGCGTTAACTTGAAAACATATAATTTAAGTTGATAGGTTCCCCAAGCCAGCAATAATTAAAGAATTACTTAATTAGTTGGCGGTATGATAAAGTACATGTAACTACTATAAACCTAATTATCAGAGCATACATTTACTGAAGTATGTTCTGGGAGCGAAACATCGCGGGGCGAACCATCTCAGCGCGAAACATCGCGGTGCGAACCATGCATCGGCGCGAAACATCCCGTTACCTACAGACCTGGCCTGGTCTGTATAGTCATCAAAGTAATCATTTTTAATTTCTTTTTTTCCCATAGTATATTAAAAGGTAAAATTTATTCCTTTTGCATGTAACATTTTATGATTAATAATTATATATACTTCTGAACAGGCTTTTATTGAGTAACTTGTACTGTGAGAGTGTAAGGAACAAATTGCACTCATAGACACAGAAGTTGCACCTACATATTCCTATGAAGCCGATGAGTGCTGGTTTATTGTAGGAGAAAACAGTATGCAACACAGACACTTGTTTCGAATACAGGACACCCCCTTATTTTTACCACAAGGTACCTTACTCAATATTTCAGGCACCCCACTTCAAGCTCGTATTTTGTTAATATATCAGTCATTTGCTTATCTCCTTCCGTCTTTAAAATCATACAAACTGAGACTCAAGTTCTGTACAACAAGGCTCAAGACAATGTTTGGAAAACATGTAAAAGGTTTCATACTTCATGGCCATTTTAGCTTTTACTCGTGGATACACATTAAAAAGACATTAAGATTACAGAACATTTCCTGTCTTTCTTTGCTCAAGCAATCACGAATTTGGACTCATTTGAAGTCATTTCCAATATTTTCCCGATAACCCATGCTCGGTAACATTCGACACAAAACCATAAAAAAAAGATAGCAGTCAGGAATCACGAATTATTTCCATAGACGCTAACCACCAATGAATTATTTCTTATGGTTATCTTAATTCAACCTTGATAATTCTTCTCGGTAACCCAGCCATATCAAGATCGGCTGCTTTGTCAAAATATTTCTTTCTCCAAACTCTTAAAATGGCGAACACTGCTACTGTAAAGCTAGACACAAAGCATTGTTTCGTATTTTTTTATATCAAGTGGCGGATCCATAATTATCAGCCAATTCAAAACAAAGGAAACGTATTCTATATATAAGTATTTTAATAATAATTTGGCATCAAAGATAGTAAAAAAAAGAGAAATCGAAGTGGTTAAAATCAAAGAACTGAAAGTAATCATGGACCACTAATTAACGTTACATGTGTACATGTACATGTACTCCATTCGTCAAACACTTTGTGTATTTGCAAGTCGCAAGTTGGTCCTAATCATGCTTATCGTCTATAGGAGTAAAACATTGAATAATGGACTTTACAACGTCTTTTATTTGAAGTTCACTTGGATCGAATTGACATTTAAGGAGGATCTCTACACCTGTAAAGTATAACTGATTTTTGTTGCATGCATTTGTTTCTAATAATAGGCCCCATATCCGATAAAATAAGGTTCCAAAGTATATTGAAATATTTTATTTATTTTGTTAAAATCCCTCATATCAATTTTTTTAAATGCCCATTGCTTTAAATTTCTCTTTAAAGTTTAGTGTTATAAGATATTGAAATAATAACCAACAAAGTTAAAAATAAAATCAACATAATTTTAATTTAAATTTACAAAAAATAGACAAAAGAAAAGCTAAATCAACATTTTCTTGAGAATAGCTGGTTGGATCCTCTTCAATATCTGAAAAGATATATAATATCAAAGGGTAAAAACAATGAAAAAAGAAATTGAAAAAAATTGAAAAACTGTCAAAAATTTATAAACATCACAAGAATTCAGGTGTGAGAGATCCGCTTTAAGAGTGGACTCAAATATCTTGGTACTGTTTTTTTCTTGTTTTTTTTTATAAACTTCAAATAAACTCTACTTGCACAAGTATTAAACAAATGTCACGCAAGGACATTGAAAGAAGTTCGTATTGTACATGTATTGTTTGTCAATTAGTTTAAGCGAAAATCATCGCGTTTCCAGTCAATGACAAAGACATGTATTTAGTGAATTCATGGTATTGAGAAAGGTAGATTTACTAACAGTTTTTATCCAACTTGCATGTGTTATCCAGTGCTATGTATAACAAAACAAGTTAAGATGGTAAATGGCCAAAAGCGGTAAAAGAAATTCCTTTAACCAAATGCACACTTCGTCTAAAACCTGCACGTTTCCCATACTTGTAAACAGCTGAAAATGTTGATCAAACATTTGGGACATGCGAAATTTCACCGGGTATAACCATTCATTCGGGTGTATACAAATCGTGAACAGAGGATCCTCTAGTCGATAGGAAGATAATACATATGTCTTATCTGATTAAATTTGCATTTTTAGGGGGATATATTTTGCTTGAAAGCATATATGCTTATTGAAGAAAGAAATTTCTGAGTGTATGCAGGTGTTTTGACAAGTTATAATGAATTAGCATATGGACAAGCCATGTTTTATATCATTTTTTTGTTACCTAAAAATCTTATTCTAATAAGTTTGTAAATGTATTATTTAATAATTAAATAAGTAGAAATGGAATAAATTGACAAACAATTCATTTTTAAGCGCTAAGCGCAGCGCAAAGCGCTTTATTTTCTGTCAGCGTAAATCTACTTCCGTTCGCGATCCAGCGCCACTATAAGCAAGTTAGACAACTCCTCTTGTTATTCTAAAAATATTCAATTGGAAATCCCTGACTCTCTTCCTGCTATTTTAGTGTACTGCTGTTACGTGTATTTCTAATAATAGGAAGCAATTAGTACGGTAAAGGGATATTCCACAGATAGTATAGATAAAAGCAGTTCTGATCATGCTCTTCTCTATATAACGGTACATTGTTGTTCATTTAAATTACGTCGGCACACATTACTTTTGTATCATGTAGCTAATAATTGCTGAATCTATTGCGCAAATACTTAATTAAAAACAGTATATCATTTATCATGTACATGTAATATAGTGATTGAATAAGTGCATAATTTAAAACTCAGATGGGATTTTAATAATTCAGTTTTATACTTCTGTAAATCTCAAACTGGAAGTGAGTTACTAGTATTCAGTATTTGAAAAAAAATAAAATTGATTAACAATGTACTACTTACATGATATGGTGTGTTCTTTATAACGTATATCCATATACTTATAGTAAACTATTATTGTTTTCTTCTAGAACCTTACTTCAGGCAATGTAACTAATACAAACCTTCTAATTAACACAGGGTCTTGCACCATGCTGAGAGCTATCAGTGAGGTTGATTTTCGCATCTAAGTATCAATTAGTAACAGACTGCAATGCATTCATGGACTGTCTTTTTAATGTCTTTACTTGTGTTGTACTCTATACTTGTATTATATGAGTAAAACATATTATGTAAATAATTCGAAAGGAAAGACAGTTTGTGGCTGTACATACATGTAGGGTATGTGGTGGCTGTGTTTTCAACGAATCCATGCAAATAGTAAAACTTATTTCTCGAAATATTGTGCTTTAAAATTGTGTGTGTAGTGTGCAGGATATGCCAGGCGAAAAATGCTAAAACCTTTATTAACGTTCGTAGCAATGGATAGGAATAGGGCGAATGTAATGTTAAGCAAACAGTAGGAAACTATAAGGAAGAAATAGTTTATGTAAAAATGTGCCCCAGCGGTGTTGCCGATTCTTAATGAAGACTAATTAAATACAGAATAAAACAATGTTGTATTTATTAATACTTGAGATTAATACTTGCATATATTTTCTTTCTTAGTCTCTTGAATTAGTTATCATTGAAATATATAGCAGAAAAATAATGAGCAATTATTTTCCTTATTCCTTTTCAACTAGCACAACAATGCCGAAGATTTGTTTTTCCTTTCTGACAGTGTTTTGCATTGTAGTGAAGATCATACATATACAATGTACAAGTAAAGAATGGTGTAAAGCATCAAGCGTCCGTAAAAAAAAATATTGAAGCATTTTAAATTATTTTGACGATAATCAAAAATACTTTGGGGGGGTTAATGATTTTTTTTTAATTCCGAAGAGGAAAAGTGTAAAAAAAAATCTATTGTAAAAAAGTAATATTTACAAATGAGTAAAACATATTGTGATATCAAAACAAATGTTACTGCAAATATGCATATTCATGTATTTGAAAATCAGAGGTTAAAGGAAAGCATCGAAAGATAAATATAATAGTTTTATGCTCAAATGTTTATTAACCTATTAAATGTATCTGACAAAAAGGGCGTTAATTCTACGGAATCCGATGTTCACTTCCTCTACATAGAGTTTTGTCACATGACGATGTAACAAACATGATGCCAACCTTCAATTTGAAACACTCGTAAACGCGGAATGAATTTGTTATTAAAAATGATCACCAGAAGATTTTAGCTTTCAGTGTTGCACACAAATGAGAGGAATTTTAGCGATATTTTCAAGTGTTCAAATTTATTTCAAAATATACATTTTCCAGCAATTGTATCGTTACATTTAATCTCTAATAAGTTTAGATGTTTCTCTCAGAAGAAAAAAAGGCATAAGACAATGTTGAATTTCATAATCCAACGGGAAGTTTCCAGGACTAACATATTTGATTATGTACCAAACAACTGTGCTCACCCAAGCGCTGTCGCACTGTCAACATATTGCTTAAAATTCAATACAACAGGAAATTTAAATTCAAAATAATTCTGATGAATTTCAAATCAATATGCGTAGCGCTTCCCAGTACTTTCAGTACTTTGATTAAAGAAAGGATACGTATTGGGCAATACACTACATATTAATTGATGTGATATAATGTACATTCCATCCACAATATCGCATGTTGTGTTATACTCAGTGATTTATCGGTGTTAGGTGAATTTGAATCTGATCATTTGGGATCAAAATGGCGTTTTTACGGAAGTACGCCATGTTGTGACGTTGTAGAGAGCCCCCTTAAATGGAAGTAACAAGAGACGTACGGGTCACAACGCTCCCCTGAGTAACTTTAATTGGCTCTGCTGTTCTCCACCAGATTTTCCTCCTTGTAATACCTATTCAGTGTTGCGCCCTACCACGAGGGCATGATATGATCAATTTAGAATCTACAATATCCCAGGATGCTTCCAAATATATTTTGGATCCAGTGGTTCTTGATGTTTAATTAAGAAGATTTTAAAAGATTTAACCTAAAGATTCATTCTCAGCTATCCTTGGACTTTCAGTAGAGCGTGACTTTCTCGACACTACGTAATTCACGTATCTCAAATGGCGAATAGATTTTAAGAGATTAATAACATCAGCAACTTTAAATTGTTGTTGACAATTAACGATGAGAATTTACTTAATTAAGCCCCACCTCTTTGACGTACGAAACGCTATCATTGGATTATTGCTACAGTCGTTGACATTCGCCCGATTGCATATTTCAGCAGTACGTGAATGAAAGGCTGTGTAAAGTTCAGACGCTAATTATGTAAAGTCAAGAATACCTCGCCTTACTGAAAGTCCGAGGATAACAGAAAATTATTTCTAAGTAAAACATTGATTTCCTATTGTGTACCAGCCCTACCACCAGGATAAATGATTTTAACAATTTAGAATTTTCAGTAGCCCAGAATACTTACACATACGTTTCAGTATTTCTGGCTTAGTGGTTCTCGTGAAGATTTTTAAAGATTTATTTTTCTGAATATTTCTATGTTAAATATTTTGATTTCCTTTTGTAGTCCTGTCCTAACCCTGGGGGTCATGAGTTGAACAACTTAAAATCTACACTATACCATAAGACGCTTCCACATTTGTTTCATCGTTTCGGACCATGCATCTTAAAAAGATTTTGAAAGAATTTTTTCTATAACTTTCTATGTAAAAACTGGATTCACTATTGTGGCCCTGCCCTATCTCCGGGGTTATGATTTAAAGAAATTAGAATCTACACTACTCCAGGATACTTTCACGTAATATTCAGCTTTTCTGGCTCAATGGTTCTTGAGAAGAAAATTTTTCAAAATTTTACTATAGTAGTATATTTCAATGTAAAACTTTGAT